CGGTTGTGCGATAACTTTCACTGTAGTTTGTTTGGGAGAAAATGTTGAATTGCTCGTATTAAGAGCATAATTTATTTTGGACTGTAGCGTATCTGTAGCTTTTTTTTTTTTGTTTTCTTTGTTTTTTATGTATTTATTTTGTTTCTTACATTCCTGATCAAAACTATGAATGAAGTTGTACTTGAGTTGTAAACTGTTAAAACAGAGATTGAATAAAAAGGGAGCTAAAGCGCTGCACCACACTCTGAGAGTGGATGCATCACTTTGAAAAGCAGAAGAAAAAAAAGTGAAATGATGTCCGCTTTAGAATTTGGTACTTTTTTGTCCTCTGCAAGCAATACATGAAATGTCTCAATCATTTAAGACTGTACTGTGTTTTAAAGCAACAACAAGTGATGCATTGGCTTTCCATGCGTCTTATCAGATGAGACGCAAAAGTACCAAAGTTCTCTCGTTTTATTCTCTTGAAACCACAAAGAAGAGTGATACTGACTGAACTAAAAACCCTGTAATGAAAAATAGAATTATTTCTGATGTGAATTTAAATCCCAAACTGTGTGCTACACCTGCTAAAATGACACGTTTATGTACTGTAACGTACTCTGGATTAAAGTGTCCACTTCGTGGAGTAGTACATTTTCCAAATCAGGAAACATTTGACTGAAACCTGGACCCTTTTGGATGCCACTCCCACTTGTCCTTAGCGACACTGTTTAGTTGTCTGAAGCCCAGGCCATTGTTTCTGATGTTTAAAGTCGTACCTGCAGATGCTCGGCTAGCAAGACGCTGAGCAGAGAACCAACGACGCTAGCTCCAGTAGACGCTTGTTTACTGCGTGTTGTTAGATCGGTTCGCTAGCAGTGCTTGTCATCACATAGTAACGTTAAGTGGTCATGGTCCCCACACACACACCACCAACGACGCTCAGTGTCAGTCACATGCAGTGTGTATTTGCTGTTTTTCAACTTTTTTTCTTTTGTAAACTTTCTACATGAATTTTGTACTTTTTTTCTCTTTTTTTATACAATAAAGATAAGGAAACTATCTTCCCCTGTTTGGTGTTTTATGTCCAACATTAATTAATGGAGTGCCCCAGTAGCTCACCTGGTAGAGCGGGCAGCCCATTGAGTCCTTTCTGCAGCGGGCAGAGTTTAACAATGACCCCTTTGCTGCATGGTGTTCCCTCTCTCCTTTCACTATGTAATATATGAAAAATAACCTTTAGAAAGCTTTAGAAAACTACATCAATGTCATTATATAATTTTAATTTATATGAAACCATTTGTGTCTGTTATCATATAATACTGTTTCAAGTAACAACTATTTCTAAAACAAGTTTTGTCGGAGCTGGCTGATGAAATGGAGAGTATAATGTGCTTTAATAGTTTTTATATATTTTTTTTCCACACTTGTTACTGCACTTATTGAACAAAAACAACCGTTTTGGAGCTGTTCCTGGTAAGACTGACCAGGCAGGAACTACAAGGACTGAAAGTTTTACGAGGAAACGTGTTCAATATTTTTTAAAGAGAAAGCTAACTTTGAGAAATCCCTGAGTAGAATATACAATACAATTGTAGATTAAATGTATGTTTGCAAATCAACTAATCAGGGGATTCCAGATACTGTTTGTATCTCCGGGAAGTAAGATCCAAAAACACACCTGCAATTACCGCGTATCACCACAGGTGCCTCCAAAGAGAACTAAACGGAGACCTTCAAGATTGTACGTGAAAGTACAAAAGTGTTCGCATCAAAATATACTTATTCTACCAAACATAAAAGTACTCATGATGCAGAATGGCCCATTTCAGAATTATTCATCAGAAATCATGTTTATTGCTAAGTATATTACACATACAAGGAATTTGGCTAGATGAATATACTGTATATAATAAACCAACTAATACATTTTATATATATGTATATATATATACAGTATACATATATATATATTATTTATAAAGATGTGGTGCTGGAAATAGAAATACACAAGTAAAGTACAAGTACCTCAAAATTGTACTTCATTAACTGAGATAATGCAGGCTCAAGAGACTTATTGGTTAAATAAAGGTGAAATAAACCAAATGAGTAAATAAAGGATCTCCTTTACACTCCACAAAGGCACGGGAGTAGGATGATGACTTCGCTCTGCTTGGGGATGAACTTCACACGGTGGAAATGTCACTTTGCAATGACGCCACCCTCAGGCGAGGACAGCGGCAGTTTATTGGTTTGGCAGATGTTTACAGATGTTGGTGGCTGTCTGGGGTTTAGAGCAGCAGCCCTCTGGCCATGCGTGACAGTGGATGTGGTCTCCGTCACATCTGGAGAGCAGCACGGATTAGCAGACACGAGGTCAAGACCCTCGCTGCTCGCACACACACACACACACACACACAGATGCACCACAAGTGTTTACAATGATGGTCAACATGACAATCCGGGACAACATGCGCATCAAAATACTCCAGACCATGTTTTGATGCTCTTACAGAGGCCTTGAATAACCCTGGAACTGCACAGTGGATGCATTGTTATTATAGCATTTATTCATGTTGTTGTTCACATCACCTGGTTTATACACGTAACGTAATACAGCAGGAATGTCTTTGTTTTTTTATCATTTACTGTCTGTTTTTATTTACAAATAAACAGATACTAAACACAACACGTATATAACTGGCAATTTAAAAAACAATGTGTTTAAAAGATGAAGAATGACACTTGAAGTGTTGTGATTACAGACCAAAATGACTCTCTGATGTTCCTTAACTGATCTTTGACTTTAGACCATTTTACTGACTTCTGAGTAACAATTTGTGTTATTTTCATAAAAATGAATGTTGGTAAATATAACACATTCATACGGGCCTCTACAAGAGCTCGACGTTTAGTCAGTCTTTGCTGGGGAACATACCCTGACATTATATTATATTAAGCTATTGTTATTTGATATATTATATCATTGGATTGTTACTAATGCCTAGGAAAAAAGCCAACCTGCATTTGAAGTGAGAACTCCAGATTTCTGCTTCCAAAATGAAGAAATATTTGCTGCTTTAATCTTTAGAGCTGAAGCGGTTAGTTCATTAATTGATTAGTCAACATCAACAGAAAATGTTAAAAAAAATAAAAAATGTCTTCATAATTTTAGTCTTTTTTTAAGTAACGGTTTTCCCAGCTTCTCAGATGTGCTATGAAATATTATATATATATATTTTTTACTATTTAATTTATCTTAGAAAATAATTGGCCGATTAATTAAGACTGAAAAGAACTGTGAGTTGCAGCCCCACTAATCTCTACATCCAACTATAAAGCGAGGAATCTCTGTGTCTTCTTTGCAAACCTCGAGAACCGCTCATCGGATCTACTTCACACTCTGTGTTTTTTTTTTTCTTGGCTCCCCATGGTGCAATTTGAAGACACGTTCAATATTAATAAACTGTAGCTGTGGGGGTGGAGCTTCAAAGCTCTGTAGACTTGAGCTTGTCACCCACAGCGGGCATTTCAGGCCACGGCTCGCTCGACAGCAGTTCACTTTTGCTGTTGGATGGTGAATATACTAAATTTCCTAGCAACACTTCAGCCGCCGGGAGCCAAGCAATGGGTTCGTATCGGGACAATGCTGTTCAGCAGCAATGCGAGCGCTGCACTAGTAATAAACAAACGCAGGAATTCACCAGTGTCTAAGGAATAGCAAAGACCTTCTGGCCAGCCAACACACAATAACACACCCTTCACTTCTATCTTTGTGAGGACACTTTGTTGATATAAAGTATTCTCTTTTCCCATTATCCTAACCTTAACCATCACCACTAAATACTTATGCTGAAACCTGAAACTAACTCTAACCTGCAACTAACTCTAACCTGAAACTAACCCTAACCTGAACCCTCAAACGGGCCTTTGAAGGTCCTTCCCAAAGTGAGGAGCGACAAAAATGTCATCACTTTCCAAAAGCGTCCTCAATCTGAAGGTCTAAAACTTCTAATGGTCCTCACAAAGATGGTTGTACAAGTAAAGACACACACACACACACACACTTGTCTGTTGCTGAGTCAACAGGCAGCATTGGGACCAGATATCCTCGGTTAAACTCCTCTGCAGAATGAGCCAATCACGCGACCCTCAGAGCCAAATCAGGGATCTGATTGGTTGCAACAACAGACACTTGGTCTTTGCTGCTAAGTGGAGAGAGTGACCACACAGCAGGAGCTCCGCACTGGGATTTAACTCTGTATGGGTGTGTGTGTGTGTGTGTGTGTGTGTGTGTGTGTGTGTGTGTGTGTGCGTGTGTGAGAGAACAAGACAGGACATGAAAGACAGAGAGCAGAGTCAGCATGAAGAGCGCATTGAATGTGTTGGCAGATAAGAGTTTAGGTTTAATTAAAGGGGCAGAATGAGCTTAAAGGGACATTCCGTAATTAATCTTCTCTCCTAATCCCAGGAAAAGAGAAGTGGCACTCTGTGCTGCCTAACAGCTCCTTTGGTTTTGTTCCTAAATCAGCCGTAAACACCAATCAAAAACAGACTGGTGTTGGTTAATATGTATTCATGGGAATTATTCAATTATTTTCTTATTCTCTCTGAACTTGCAATGAACCCGGTGTGTGAATGGACTCAATCCTGTCTCTATTCAAATCAATTGTCACACATTTCTGCAGCAGAAAGCCTCATGGGGGAATAAAAGTAGATATCAATTTAGTTACAGTAGGAATGTATCAAGGGACCAGGAGTCCTGAGTTTCACATTTGCTTCATCAGTCATTTATAGAGTGGTTGGTGTATTTTTTTTGTTCAAATAAACAATCAATTAATAACTAGTGCATAACTGGCAATTTAAAAACAATGTGTGTTTGGAAATTAAGAATAAAACCATAAAATGAATATGTGATAACTGATCAAAACATAGTCACAGATGATCCTTATTGTTTTGATCGATGATCTTTCAGCCTGGTAAGTCTTGCCATACACAATATCATGTTTTTTTTAATAGTAGATATCACATAGCATTATCACAGATGCATTGATGCACAATCTGCATTTTGCTGTTGTACCTGCAAATGTAACTGTTAGTCAAATCTGTAACCAGGCATCGTATTTTACAAGATGATCCCATGATTTTTATGTTGAATCTTATTAATTTGCAAAGAAACTAAATCTGTCAAATGGGGATATCGTTTTTGTGTTTTTATCATTTGGTCGATGGATTAATGCAATGGGGGGGGGGGGCTTACAGTTCAGAGTGATCGCTTTGGGGTTTTTATGTGGAGCAACATTTGTGTTCTGCAGTTGCCACCACAAAAATAAAACTTTCTAGTTTGCTTTGATTAGCCTCAGTCCTACTTAAAATGATGGTTCAAAAGTGTCAAATATGGACACTGACGTCCAGAGGCAGCGATTCCTTCTTTGTCTTCTTACAGTAAATCTGTTACCTTTGAAATATCCCTTTGGAGGATTTGTGTCATGTATGTATTCTTGGCTTCACACAACAAACTACACTGAACGTAATAGTGCTGATTTCTGCTAGGTGTCTTTCGCTCCCCGTTCCAAACAAAGAGGAGTTGAATCTCACCCGATTCTCCCCCCTGGCTCCCTGACAGTCAAGACAAGACGGCAGCGAAGATAACAAAAACAGGGATTTATCCATCTTGTGTCGTGCCTATAACTTTTCTATTAGCGGAAATGATTGGCTACTGAAGCAGTTGTCGCTCACTTGCGTCTGGTCATGAGGAGTCAGCAGTCACTGACGAGTTATGCACTAGTTAATAAAATATTTTATTTATGAATCACTGCAACCACAACAGGTCCTAGAGCATACGGTGGTAAATGAGCACAAAATATATTTGGCTGAAGGGTCCAGTGGTGTGAGAGATTAGCTGTAGACAGGCGGACAGACAAACAGACACACGTGCAAGCACATGATCTCTCCTCAGGCTTACGCCTGGAAGAGAGAAAAACAAACAAACAAACAAAGCGGTGGTGGGAATGAGATCCGGCAGTTTGAGAAGAGTCAGTCGTCTGTCTGGGGAATCTGTCACTCGTCCAAAAAGCTCAAATGACATGTAATTCACCTCAAAGTTTGCCACAGAATCGATTGGTTCCCTTTTGAGCCACAGAGAGAAGCTGATCTTTGGTTGATGGACACCACCGTAGACATTTCCTGTTGCGGTTAAGGTCACATGTTTTGCGGGTCATTGTGGAAACGCTGCTTCAGCTCCCCATGAATGAAATGTATCTGAAGAGGCAACAACCTTTAATAAGTCGCCCTCATACACCTCTCCCTCTCATTTTATTGTGTTATTGTAATGTATCACTGATTTGTTTTGTATAGAAAACTATTTCTGAATTAACCGACTTGACAATGCAAAAAAAGTATTTTACATAAGATGACACTTTCCTGTTGAACTATTTTTAACTGTAAACTTACATTTTTATTTTTTTAAACAGCAGAATGACTCAGCGACCTCGTGGCACCTGCTGTTGAAAACACAGCAGTCGACCCTTGCAGGAGTTAAACTGCATCAAAATAAGCGTCATTATTTCCATCTACGGTAAGACACATCTCTGCGGTTCAGGTTCCCCAGGCCCGGCCGGATAAACAGGTTCAACCACGGTCAGACACGGGACCACGGGTCTGGTTTTCCCCCCTGCAATGCTCGCTTGTTGTCGCTGCCTTATTTGTCACTGAGGCAGCCATGTTTGGTTTGGTGAGTCACACGCTGGGGCGGTGAGAGGTTATTACCAAATATGGTCATACACTAAGCATCATGTAACCTTCAGATTTTTTAATTTCTAACATTGCATAATTCAAGGCCACCGTGTTTCATGACTGCACCTTTTGCATCAAATGGAAAATGAATATTGATTTACACAGATTTCCTTGCACAACATTAGTTTGTACTAATTTACATGACACAAGAGTGTCACGATTTTAAAATAAGTGGAAAAAAAATCTCTAATCTAATTTTCCAAATTAAAAGAATAAAACAACATGATTGTTATTGTTTAATAAATCCAGAAACCTGAGGCAGAATCATTTCACTTAACAAGGTTTTATTAGTAAATGTAAAAAAAAAAACAAAGACCAAATGCCAAAAGGTTGGAACAACAACAGGTTAACTTTATGAGTAGTGGAGCAAGAACTGATATAAATTATCTGACAGAACAAACGAAAGAAAAGACATACATTTGCTGGACATGAATTTGTGTGTAAAACTGTTTAGTTGGGGCCAAAGTAGTCGACCACGCCGTTGCCTTTACGACCATCGAAGAAGAAGAAGTTCCGGTGAGGAGGGTCTCTTTGGGAGAGAGCCTGAAGGGAGAGACAGAGAGAGAGAAAACACTTCAGCACACACATTCATTTTCTCCCGTCAGGTGTCTGAGGGGACACATCTTTATGTCTGAATGGTATTTCATGCTTTTAATTCCATGGAGATCAAAACTCTGAACAACAGTTCAGTCAGGAGCAGGAGCAGCTTCCTGTTCCAGTGTCAAGTGTTTAGGACAAGCTGGAATATCAACAGGCAACTCTTCAAAACTATTTCAAATGCAAATAAAACATTTGGTGTCTGAAAAAACAGCTGATTACAAACTTGACTGAACGGTAGTGTACATAGTACATAAGTAATCAACCCGCCACACAATACTTTGGCAGGTAACTGTTCACTTTGTGAACTAAGAATCAACGTACCAGCCAGCACGACCAGAAAGAATCTATTTAATGCCAGTTTTCTAGTTTTGTTAGAGCCTGCAGACACACGCAGACACACGCAGACGCAGACACACACACACACACACACACACACACACACACACACACACACACACACACATACACACACACACACACACACGTCCATCACGCTTTAAGAAGTTCTGTTGGCGAGGCGAGCTCAGTGAAATCACTCAGATTCACCCGGCGAGACATCAGTCGGCCAGTTGCAGTGGGTTTCATCATCACCTCCATCATTCTAGAGACGGCAGGTTGGCATTGTGCCAATATAATGCAGTCAGTCCCCTCCCTCTAATATACACACACACACACACACACACACACACACACACACACACACACACACACACTTACCCTGACCTGAACTCCTGTTACCTCAGCTCACCGTGCACGCAGCTCAGAAAGAGATGGTTTTAAATCAACTGTGACTCAATATTTAGTGCCCAGTTCAACTCATTATTTTGGATCACCGATGCTTTTCTGGCCTGGAAAACAAATTCAAAATCCAATGCAACGGTATCCTCCCCGTCATGTAACACTGTGGGAACATGAAGTCTGAATCATTTCACTCTTAAAGACTATTTCAGATGTAAATAAAGCATTTGGTGTCTGGATTAAGCTGCTTTTATCACCGTTAAAATAGTTATTATTGAAGTTAAGAAGAAAAACATCGATATAACAAACTTCTGAACGGTAGTGTACATAGTAATCAAGTAACCAGTCATGAGGCCACAAGATATATGGCCAGGCTAAATAGACAGACAAACAGACAGACACACACACACACACACATATAACCCCTCAGTTACAATACTGAGTCTGCGAATCCCATCAGAGGAGACTAATGAAGTTACACAAAATCTGATTTAAGGACTATAAAATAAAATACATCTCAAGTCCCCAAATTCAAACATGCACATTCGAGGACTTCTAATGTTCCTCGAGATCTCGTCGTTTGTTGAATTTTGAAGTTCAAAATGTTTACTTCGATTGTGATCTTTGACAATAAAGTTTATTGTTCAATATCTCTGCCACACACTGTCACAGTGCATTTGCAGAGATCTAAGAGAACAATGTCTGTGTACGTTCAGGGTTCAAACTGCTTTTTAAAGAGTCAAATTTAAGCACTTTCAACCTCCCTAAACACACAACGTTCACACTCTCGAAGCCTTTATCATCACATCTAAATTCTTACTATAAATGCAAGTGTGAAAAATGTTTTTAATTTTTTAAATACCCACAGCACTTTACCAGCTGTTCATGTTAAAACGATTGTATGTTTTGCTCCTGATTATGTAATGCTGAGCTGGCTCCGGTGAGACAACAAGGACACATGACGACGTCATCGTTTCATTTGGAATATCGAAAGATTTCTGGTGCGTGATCGTGTATGAAAATGAAACGCCACATTATGTTGAAAATCAAGAGTTTTTTCGAGGAGTACGTTCCAGTTCAAGCACGTTCACAAAAACTTGAAAACATTTTCCAGACTTTGTACGAACCCACGTGTATGAAAGGAACATAGTCCACTATTTTTACTATGAAACAACAATGAGCGTTTTACGTTGTTCAGCTCGAGGACTTTATAAATCAATCCCCCTTTTTGAGGGGCTTCTGCCAGGAGCGTCACACGGAGTCTGGCTGTGGTCACAGTGACGATCCTTCTTCTGCACAGAGAAGAGTCTCTCTGAAGCCGACCCAGATAACCAGCTGAGCGGCCACCTGTCAACTGACCGACCCCCTCACACACCCGTTTTGCCATCATTCACCACGGCGGAGTGAATATCGTGAGACGGCATCAATAACGTTAACCTCTGCAGATCGTTTCCCGGAGTTACGAGGCTCCTTTTAATGTTTACATGCTCACCTTGACAACTTCCTGTCCCAGAACTCCTCCCACGACGGCGCACACCGGAGACATCTCGGAGAAGCAGTAGCTGAGGACAAAAAAAAAGTGTGACGTTGATGACAAACAAAAAATACCTCCATCTGGAGCCTTGCTAGTGAGCCAACCAAAACGTCTTTATAATCAATAATAATCCCCTCCCACAGATGTAGACAAACTGGGTTAATGTCGGGCGGATCTGCCGAGTGAAGCCAATGCGGAAATGTCTTAAAACTTGTATTCTCTCTACTGACCAGCAGGGGGCGACTCCTCTGGTTGTATAGAAGTCTATGAGAAAATGACTCTACTTCTCTCTTGATTTATTCCCTCAGTAAACATTGTAAACATGAGTTTATGGTCTCAATCTCTAGTTTCAAGTCTTCTTCAATACAGCATGATGTTTATTTGGTAAATTATGATCCATTTACAGTCAAATAGACCATAAAGCAGAGTATGCTTTAGGGCGGGGCTAATGTGATTGACAGGTCGCAATAGCTACCAGTCGTATACGGCGTCTCTACGTCACTCCTCCGCATTCCAAATATGGTCACTTCTGTTCAGTAGCTGCAACAAAACAACATGGCGACGGCCGTATTCCAAGATGGCGACGGCCAAATCGCCGAACTCGAGGCTTCATAATGGCAGACCACAAACCAATGGGTGACGTCACGGTGACTACGTCCACTTCCCATCTACAGTCTGTGTGTAATGTGGAAGTTATTCAGTCTCCAAAACCCAGTTTGAAAGCGATTAAGGCCACAGACTTTGTGGAAACAATAACACAGACGTGCTGTTTCTGTGTGGATGTGAAAGTGCAGTAATTGATCGATCAGTCCAGATTTTCTTGCATTGCAATACGCTGAAATACATAATTTCATAGAAATCTGAAACATGAATTTGTAAAAGTGGAATTTGGGCCTGCAAACATAAGTAATGAGTACACAGCTATTACACTTTATTGTTGGTGAAAGGGCAATTTGGTGAAAATATGTTTAAAAAAATAGACTTAATCTTGTCTCAATGGCATTTCTCTGGATGCATTTCCAGCATGTAACCGGATCTACAAGGGATCTGCACATATTTCTTGGTTAAAATAGAAATGTATATATTTGTTTGTTTTATATTAAAACTCAAGGACACTTCCAACAGGACATATGGGTGATGTGGGTGGCTAAGTTTTGCTGGATCCTGCTGTCTACAGCCTCCATTCCCTATCTGAGCTAATTGTCCATTCAACGTGTCACTTGTCTAAAACTCAGAGGACGCGCGAGGACGCGTTTTATACCTGATGAAGTCATCATTCAGGAGGTCAGCGCTCACTGCCAAGGCCTCCAGGACGTCATCCCGGATCTGTCTCAGGAGCGGACTGTCCTCTGGGTAGGACTGCGGGTCGGGGGCGCGGCCTTTGTCGGTGCGAAACTTCAACAGAACTGCGGAGATGGGAGGAAGGTGAACAGAACGGAGACGGTTAAGAGGCTGGAAACAAATTTGTTTCTATATAATCTATTGCACCTTTTGCCATTCATAATTTCATCACGCTTTCAAGGGACTTCCACAGTGAATTATCATCTCATGGAACGACAACATCTTATCTCTGAAACAGGATAAGATCTGAGTGCGGTTGCGCAGTGAACCGCTTCATCCGATTAGGGCCCCACGTTCCCCCGCAACAAATTCAAAGAGTGCGAACACACAGACTGCCAAGACGCACACGTACACCTACACATGTTCAGTGAAAATATTAGGGTGAGGGGGGAAAAAACAAAACTCTTTCCTGTGTCTAAGAGTCGGCTGCATGACTGATTGAGAAATGAACAATCAGAAGCGTGCACATTATTTTGGTCATGAGCAAAATTTCAAATAACCGACACCAGCTCCAACTGTGCCACACATCAACACTTCGCCCCCGTATTTCCTGTTCATCCATTAACTTAAACCGCAGGAGGAAGTCAAGTCCTCCCACGGCCATTTCCACCAGCGTTTTTTGCACCTCGGCTCTGCTCTTTAAAATCAGTGAAACTGGCGTTGGCAAAAAAAAAAAGTTAAGAGACTGGCACAAATGGCATCACGCTCAGGTTTGCGCCAGGCAGGAAATCAAACAGAATTTCATAACAGAATATAATAATGTGCACTTGGATGGAACAACGATAGCATCTGTAAAACCTACACATGTAGTCGTGATACGCAACAGTCTTCAGATTAAAGTCGAGGGAGATGGCTCTTTGCGTCAAACGGATATTTTTTTTCCGTGTATCAACGCAAAATCTGTACAAAGAGAGTGTGTAGAGAGTGTATTTGGCAGAAGTGCTTTTGAGTAAGACTTATATTATTCTGTATTTGTATATATTGTGATAATAAAAATCTTCTGTTTCTGCTTTGTCCAAATATTTTAGTCATCTTCTCTCTTGCACTTTATTAAAAAAAAAAAAAAGGGGGGTTTTAAGTAGATCAGAGATACTAATGATAAAAAGCAAACACACCCACACACACAGAGCCACGCTTCAGATCACCCGACTGTTCCTAGTCAGACAGGAAGCAGTTGTAACAGAGGAAGAGCCACTTCCTCATCGGTCGCCCAAAACAAAAAAAAAAGCTAGCTCCAATTATAGAAACAGCGGAGGAATAATAACACTGCCTCCTGTGTGATGCTCACTGAATAAAACAACAACTGTTTCCACTCAGAGAGCAGACTGAAGACAGGGGCGGGGCTACCGTTCCAGAGGCTTCTATTCAGAGAGGGCAGTTGCTGTATTAGACCGAATGTCACGACGGCTGTCACACACCCGAAACGCACCGGCCAAGAAGCATTCAGATCCTAAACTTAAGTACAAGTGCTAACACCACGAGTGACATACTGCACATCTGCAGCTGGCTGGTATTGTTGTTGTCTGATATGATTTTAAACTTCAAATTTGCTTCAGGTGCGTCAGTGATGAAGGCTGATATTTTATTTTCTATAACTGAAGTTTGTGTAACATTATGCCAATATATCATAGCGTCTTATTGCCTCTGTCCTTACATATGGAGATGTTGTAGAGTGCTAGAGTGTCATCGTCTGAAGAACTAAGTTTTCAAGACTTTTACGTAAAGAAAACATGAAATATTTGGACAGATGTTACGACTTTCTATAAATTCCCATCATACCTGTTTCCTAAATGATGCTTTCAGGGTACAGGTTATCTATAGTAGTGTTTTTATTCAAACTGACATCCTTTAACAACTTTTATCAAATGCGTAACGATCTTTGTGACTAACAATGTAGTCGTTTTGTTTTCTTATTTATTGCAAAAAGAGTAAAGTCTACCTGAGCAGAGAATGAGGTCGCTCTGTTAGCACTTGTGCGATAGTTTGTACCGTTAGCACCGTTAGCGACGAGCAGCCGGCTCAGGCGCTGCCATGTTGAGATGCAATAGGAATGCTCCCAATCTCATATAATGCACTTTCAACGTGCATTTAGTATTTGAGACCTATGCATCCTGTCAAAGTCTAACAGAATTGTTCATGTTCAAGTGTGAATGTTCAACGTTCAAGTGTGAATGTTCAACATTCAACTGTGCACCCAATACCCATTTTCTGGTTACTTCCTGCCGGTGTGTGCGTGTCATCATGCGGTGTAGATGTCGGGCTGTTCTCTGCTCTACGCTCAGTGCACATGACTGGCCATGGACAGCCTGTGATGGAAACTAGCATGCAGTGTGTGGGGATGTTGCAGGGCCAGGTGACAAGAGGGACAATAACAACTCTTAAAGAGAAGGTCATCAGATACCGTAAATAACCTGAAAAACAGGAAGGAACATTTCAGATTTACTTAAAGGGTCAAAGAGTTCCTTTGGGTCTGATGGTTCCTGAACATTTTAAACCACAACGACATGTTTGGGTTTGACATTTTAACCGTTCGCCCTTCTCCCCCGATCGACATTTAACTAACTTTATGGACTTGATCTTTGGAACCAGTGACTTTGCATGTTCACGGTAGGCGTTTCAGTCTCGCTGCGGGGTCCCTACGCATTTTCAGTTTCAAATTTCTATTCATTTTTAGACCTTTCGGGATTCTTTGTTATATTTGATCAATTCTCTGTATGGAAATTCTGTTTGTGTCCTGCCTCCTACGCAGAGATGTCACAAGACCTCTTGTGGGCTCCACCGCTTGTTGTCCCTTTTAAATCATAAAAATAACAATCTCACAATGAAACTAAAATGCACAGTTTCGCAACAAATGGGAATCCCTCAACAAAGTCTTTACAAAGTCTAAAATTCTTAGAAAACGCTTAAATATTTGTCATTTAATAGAATGAAATGGTAAAATGTAAAGGTAGAGCTGCCTCCAATTCAAAAATATCCCCTCTAAAGAGCTTAGCTTCAATTTAAAATCTTTCTGGGGTTGTAACTACTAATAATTTTCATTAATTATTAGTTTGTACTGACTTTATTTTCCTTTAGTTGATTAATTGCTTAAAATGCAAACACCCATCAGCAGTTTCCAGAGCTCACAGTATCCTAAACATCTGAAAATTGATTTCTGACAAAGAAAAAACAACAAAAGGTTTTGAATTCGAAATGACACGAATCGCAGAAAATGCTAACTTGACAATTTAGAACCTGTTTCCACTAAACCGTTGACTTTATGAAATGAGGCTTTAAGTACCGTGAAGCATGAAGTAGTCCACTGGTGTTTTCTTCATCCCGGCTTTGGCCTTCTCAGTTGTCCAGTCGACCTCCAGAGCTTCCTTCAGAGTGCAGAAACTGGCCGTCTGATTGGTTTAGAGAATACAAAAAAAGTAACGTCAATAGGAGATGTATTAATTAATGCGTTGCTTATCTTAGGACAAATATAATGACAGTCTGGTGGTCATTTGTATAGATAAGGATAGGGAGAGGAAATAAGACAATCACACTTCACAAATAATCATGTTTTTTTCCTATTTTGTGTAATTTTCTTAATGTGTTCCACCTAAAGAAAGTCATTTTATTCACCACTCAAACAGTTGTTCCTTTGAGCCGAATAGATGGAAATCATCTTCATATGGGACAGTTCTTTATATCAGTTTGGCTGGAAGAATAAAAAACAAACACATTAGTTGGTTTAATGTGTTTGAAGATGCTCTCATTGACCTTTTTCACCATGGTGGTCTCGTTGGGGTCGACTTTGGCCTTCTTCGCCTCTGGACCGTCGTTAGAATTTCCAGTCGGTTTGACCAGTTTCGGTTTCTCCCTAAAAAGAGAGAGAGAGTCAGTCTCACATTAGATACAGTCTGTTCATTCACATACACACAAACAACTCATTCTAGCTGCAGCGTAATATAATTTGACCTACAATCAACTAATTACAGTTCAACTTGTCAAATAACGCCATGAAACCGGTTAGTTAGTAATTACAATTAAAACATTTAATTAATTCCATCAGGAAATATTGAAATTATATTTTTTAAAGTTCATTTTAAACCTAACTTTCACCAAACTAAGATCCCATTTGAACACCACTTCGATAGGGAATATGCGTGTATTAAAAACGTATCAAAGGCAAAGTTGAGTCATGTAATGTCAACCGTCAGCATGGATGCGTCCAGATGGCAGAGCAGAGAGTACAAGTGTGCACCGCTAACACTGCCGAGTAGAGCTAGGTGACATATTGATAGGAGACAAGATGCTTTCTGGGATTTGTAGTTGTCGCACAATGGTAATACACTGGAGCTTCAATGTTGAAAATCTCAGTGACAGTTAAGTGACACAATTCACTGACTGTTATAACAGCCATTAATATGCTCTCCTCAGTGGTGTTAATGCTTAATGTGAGTCATTTCTAATTCCCACACCAGTACTAATTACAACTATTACCTCCTGTTTTCCAGCAGACCCGCTGGTCCTCCTGTAGTTTAAATCCCGTCCTTGTACTTTAGAGGTTCTTTCCGTGGTAAGAGCTGCTCGTCTTTCTACTTGGTTTCTTTTAATCGGCTCAGTGTGATATGTGATATTTGTGTGAACATGGAAGGAGTCAAAAATGGTTTTGGAATCTGGTTGACAGTTAATATGTCTCCATAAAGGCCTGTGTGTGAACCAATACAACGGCGGTATTGTCCTGTGGCTTTGACCTGCAGTGTCACAGTGTTACAGACCACATCCTGTCATTTCACGGTGGTTCAAATCAGGAACAAAGAGTTCAGTTTCAGAGCAGCGGTGAATGTTTTCTCTTCTCTGTGCTCATCTTGTGTCTTATTACGTTTGCTTACATGGAAGAGATGCATGGCAATACAATGTTCTGCTGTCTTGGACGACACTTCACAATGAAAACACTTTTTAATATCGCTGAAAATAATCTCTACTGCAGTGCTCTGGAGCAAGGCACTTATCCCGCAGGCAGCCGCTCCCTCACTTCGAATTGTTGTCGGCCGCACTTACTCTACGTATTTGTGCTCTTTTCCGAGGTTGCAGAACATGTAGCCGTAGTAACCATAGATGTCCCCACAGAAGACCTTGATGTTGTGCTTAGAACAGAGCTGGTCGACCCGCACCATCAGGTCTCTGGAGCAGCCTGTCAGACACACCTGAGGGAGGAAAAGAACAAACACGGGGTCAAATGGTTGCCTGATCAATTAATGCCAAAGTGCTTCTGAGTACACTACAGTACAAACCATATTTCATGAGTGAATTCATCCTTTTCTCTGTCACCGTTAATCTGTAAATGAAGCTATATTTGCAGCGTCTGTGACTTTGCGTCTAACTTTCTGTGTCCCGACAACTACAATAAAACGTCAATAGAGGATTTAATCCAAGGCGAGAGTGAACTGTGAAACAAATAGCTCCATCCTAGTAAAGCAAATAACATGTTTGCATATAAAGAAAGGAAAATTGAGTGCAACAAAAAATCTTCTATCTGCAAATATTTAAATGCTACACTGTTCATGCAGAGATGGACCGCTGTATGAGACCCTTCCTGTCAACAAGTACTGTTTACATTTCAAGAATTTGCATTTCCTCCACCTTTCAGCACCTTTAATCTCTACAAATTTGAACGCATGAAACTGAACTCCCGCTGGGTTTGGTCCGTCAGGCATCTTCTCCTCCTCCTCCTCCTCCTCTAACACGCTTTGTTTTTGTGCCGTTATTTGCTCATTTCCATTTTCATTAACACGACACAGAAAAAACGCTTGCAATAACAAAAAAATATCAAACAGTAATTATTGTCTTGCTTTGAATCCCTGAGGGGCAGACAGACATCTAAACAAACAAATAGGTTTCAGCCTGCTCAATTCTTGGAAACGACAAATTATGAACAACGGCTGACCGGCTGCCAAACCGAGTGAGACACACCTACTGCAGCAGCCACGGCAGCATGTGGTGATAGCCGGCCTCCCTCAACAAACCACCAAAGGAGGCTAAAGAGAACACGGTGTTCCACCGTGAAACCAGGGTGGGCTGGTGTCTGAATGTAAACAACTGACCGCTGGGCTGGGTCCACCTTATCCTGCTGGCCCAGTCCAGCACGCCCCAAACACCCTCAGCCCACTGATAAGAGTCCCACATGGCAGCAAGCAGACCGGGGCAAGGACCAGTGCTCCCAGTATTTACAGGAGGACGTCAATATCTAGAACATATACAAGGGGCTGAAAACATCTGTCAAGTAAAAACTAAATGTCACACTTTTATCTTTCTTTCACAAAGTGCAACAACGTTAGAAGGACTACTTTCACAGCCTGGTGGATGCACAACATCAGCCGTTAACCTCCACCTTTTTCCCTATAAATGACTTGCGTACAAATATTTGACCGCAGTGCACGCGAGTGGTCAGAGCATCAGAAAGACATGGAAGGAAAACAGGAATGCTGGAATCTCCATTTTTTTTAATGACAAAAGCAAAAACAACCTGCTTCCTTCATGAGAATCTACTCTGCAGCCCTAAAGGCTGACACAGTCACATTTGATCAATACTGGTTGCTTCACGTGAGGACTTGTTTTTTTCTTTGTTTTTTGGAAAA